TTATGTTGAGGTACATTCCCTCTATACCCACTTTATTGAGAGTTTTTATCATAAATGGATGTTGGATTGCAACTTAGTCTGAAATGTATCAAAAAGATAAAATGGATGGCTGGACAGATGGACAGATAGTGATCAAGCAAATGGAGCAAGTGTTAAATGTAGGATATAACCAGTGGGTATATGGGTGGTCATTGAAGAATGATTTCAAGTGTTCTGTATGCTTGAAAATTTTCATAATAAAACGCTTAGAAAAATTATATAGCATATTAGAAGGTGATAACTGCTCTGGCAAAAAATTAAGCAAGGCATTGGGAGAGAGGATAGGGTGACTAGTAAGGGGGCTGAAATATTAAATAAGACCATTTGGGATGGCCTCCCTAAGGAGAACTTGGAAGTGAGAGTGTGAGCCACATAGAGATCTTGGGGAAGAATGTTCCAGGCAAAGGGAACAGTAAGTACAGAAACACCCTGGGGCACAAGCATGTCTGGGATTCCCAGAATAGCAAGGAGGCCAGAGTAGCTGAAGCTAAGGGAGCAAGGGTGAGTGTAGATGAGGCCAGAGCAGCAGCAGGGAGCCAGATCCCCCAGGCATCATGGGCCACTGTTCAGCCTTTAACTTTTGCTCTGAATGAGTGGGGTGCAGGAATAGCATGATCCAACTCCTGTGTGCACAGGATCGCTCTTGTCAGTGTAGTGAGACCAGACTGAAGCAGGCAAGGCCAAAGCAAGGAGATGATGGCAGCAGTCCAGCAAGAGATGGTGGTGGCTTTGGCCTGAGTGGCAGTGGTGGAAGTGGTAAGAAGTGATCGGATTCTGGAGATATTTGAATGTGGAACCAATAGGATTTGGGCATGGATTGGATGTGGGGGGTGAAGGAAAGGAGTCAAAGATGATGGATGGGGACAGGGAAGATTACATTTTAGGGGAGCTCATTTTAGGGGAAGATCATGGGTTCATTTGGGGCAGGTCAAGTTTGAGATGTCTGCTAGACTTTCAAGTTAAGACATGGAGTAGGCCGGGCCTTTGGATTCTGGGGAGACAGGGAAAAGGAGGAATTAATGAGGAGATAAACCAGAGGACTAGAGGAGGGAGTGTCAGCCCTGCTGACTGGTCAGGTAAGAGAAAGAGTGAGCACAGACCTTGGGATTTGGGGGATGGGCCCCTCCCCCACTGTAACCTCAGCCCAGGACTTAGTCTGACAAAAGAGAGGTGTAACCACTTCCCCAAGGCCATGGCTGACCTAGTTCTTTTGTGTGTGTGTGTGAGGAACATCAGCCCTGAGCTAACATCCTTGTTAATCTTCCTCTTTTTGCTGAGGAAGACCAGCTCTGAGCTAATATCTATGGCCAATCCTCCTCCTTTCTTTTTTTTTCCCCAAAGCCCCAGTAGATAGTTGTATGTCATAGCTGCACATCCTTCTAGTTGCTGTATGTGAGACGCGGCCTCAGCATGGCTGGAGAAGTGGTGCGTCAGTGCGTGCCCAGGATCCGAACCCCGGGCCGCCAGCAGCAGACGGCGTGCACTTAACTGCCACGCCACGGGGCCGGCCCTGACTTAGTTCTTACAGCTGCTCTTAATGGCTCTGATCACATTCAATCTCCTGCAACTTTGTGTTTGTGAGATTTGTCCATTTTGACACACACACAGCTCTAGATCAAGAGTCAGCAAACTTAAGGCCCTCACGCCAAATCTGTTTGTTTTAGCAAATAAAGTTTTATTGGGACATAGCCATGCCCATCCACATTGTCTAAGGCTGCTTCCGCACTACAACAGAACTGAGTACTTGCCAGAAACTATATGGCCTACAAAGTAGAAAATATTTAGTATCTGGCCTTTCGAAGGGAAAGTTTGCTGACCCCTCCTCTCTCTCTTTCACTATAACAGTGTGTTGTTCTGTTACAGGAATACACAAGGTATTTAATAGGACATTTAGGTGGGTCCCAGTTTTTTGCTATTTTGAAAATGCTCCAATGAACATACTTAACTGTGTTTCCTTGGGCTCATGTGCACACCTGAAAGTGGAACTCCTGGTTTGTAGGACATGGGCATCTTCAGTTTGGGTAGATTTTGCAAAATTGCTTTCCAATGTGGCTGAAATGATTTACACTCCCATTCGCAGTGGAAAGAGTTCCCCTTTTCCCATATTACTCTAGAACTTGGTATCACGTGTTGTCAGATGTTATTAGTTAGCAATCTTTTATTGTTTGTAGATTCCTTTGGGTTTTCCAGCTGTGAAGGGTAGTTTTGCTCCTTTTTTTCCCTTGTCTTGGTGCTCTGGCTGGAACCTCCAAACAATATTGCATTTTGTTCAATGATAAAATTCAAAATTTTGTTCCTGGCTTTAAAGGGAATCATGCTTAACATTTTACCATATAGTATGGTGTTTAATCACTAAGTATAACGTTTGCTGCAGGTTTGGGTTTATTTTCGGAGAACTCACCTAGAAAACCATCTGGACTAGTTGGTTTTTTGAGGCATATGGCTACTCAGTTTGTCTTTTTCTTTTTGAATTAGTCTTGGCAAATTGTCTTTTTCTAGAAAATTGTCCATTTCATCTCAGTATTAAGTTAACTGGCATAAAGTTTATAACATTCTTATTTTTGTCATTTCTATATCTGTAGTTATGTCCCTTTTGCACATTAATGTTTATTTTATTGGTCTTTTCAAAGATCCAACTTTGTTTGTGGTCCATACTAGTGTTTTTGTTTTCTATGTCATCAATTTCTGCCATTCATTATTCTCTTCCTTTCACTTTCTGTGGGTTTACACTGTTATTCCTTTTTAAAATTCTTTTGAAACTCAAATTTTCCATGTTTCTTCTTACCTAGTATAACTAATAAGGCTATAAATCTTCTAAATGCTGCTTTAGTTGCCCCCTCCCTGAATTTTTATGTGTATTCTCATTTTTGGTTTGATCTAAGTAGTTTTCATTTCCATATGATTTCATCTTTGAGTAAAAAGTTTTTTAGAAGTATGTTTAAATGTCCAAACATTTGGAATTTACTTGGCTCTTGTCTGTGGTCAGAGAATATGGTCTGTATGAAACTGACTATTCGATACCTGTTGAGACTGGACTTGGGGTCTAGTAGGTCATTTTGTAAATGTTTCTTGTGTACTTGAAAGTAAGGGTATTGGGTTCAGGGCTCTATCAGGGCCCAGTGATCAGGATTATTCATAGGATTAAAATTGTCTATATCCTTTTTTGGCTGTTTGGTCTATCAGTTACTGAAAGAGGTCTTAAATATCCACTATGATGAATGATTTGGCCATTGTTCCTTGTATCCTTGTCACTTTTACTTTATACATTTTCAGCCTTTTTTTTTAACCTCTAACATAGAAGTTACAGCTTCCTTTATCCCTAATAGTGTCTTTTACCTTAAAGCCTATTTTGTCTGATTTTGCTATAGATATATCTTTTGGTTAGTTTTTCTTTAGAATACATTTTTCCATCTTTTTACTTTTGGTGCCTTTTGGTTTTATTTTATTTATTTTTTCTTGTGAGGAGATCAGCCCTGTGCTAACATCTGCCAGTCCTCCTCTTTTTTTTTTTTTGCTGAGGAAGACTGGCCCTGGGCTAACATCTGCACCCATCTTCCTCCACTTTATATGGGACGCCGCCACAGCATGGCCTGCCAAGCAGTGCCTGGGATCCAAACCGGCGAACTCCAGGCCGCCGCAGCAGAGCGCGCACACTTAACCGCTTGCGCCACCGGACCAGCCCCTGCCCTTTGGCTTTAAATGTCCTCTTGTAAGCAGCAGGGAGCTGCATTTTACTTTTCTTGGTCAATCTGATCATCTGTTTTAATAGGTGAACGTGAAGTGCATTTTGTCCCTCTGGTTTTGTACCATTTATATACTTGTTACTTTGCCTCCTTTTTCTCCTTTCCTGCCTTCTATTCTATTCTAATACCCTTTACTAACCTTTTCTTTTTTACACTGGCAGTTATACTTTCTATTTCTAATGTTTTAGTGATCTCTCTTAAGCATTTGAAATACATACTTGACTTTAGAAAGCCGGACAATTATCAATATCTTTATCCTCCTCTCAAATAAATCAAGCTGCTTAGCACACTGGAAGGCTGATTACCCTCTCCAGTCTTACATGTTACTGGTTCCCTGCTCCTGGTTTTGTACTCCACAAATCTTCATCACTAGTCATGTTTCAATGAAGTGCTTGTTTAGATCTCCTTACCCACTGATCAGTTTAGTTGCTCACCATTTTTGCATCTAATTTCTTCTCTTTAGAGTTCTGTAACTTCACTACAAAGTGCCTAGATGCTGATTTTATTTTTGTTTATCCTGCTCTGGATTTTATGTGAAGATCCTGGTCTTTAATCAATTTGGAAGCTCTTCTTCAGGAACAGCCTCTCCCACAGTCTGTCTTTTCTCTCCTTCTGGAACTCTGACTGGACCTGTGAGTTCTTTTCACTTTACCATTCTTGTCACTCCCTCATACGTTTCATCACCTTGTTACTCTGGTTAATTGCTTCTGATCTATCCTCCAGCTCAGTGATTTTCTCTTCTGCTGGGTCTAATCTGCTTTTTTACCTCATCCTTTGAGACTTTAATTTCAATAGCTCTAGTTTTCAATTCTGGACGTTTCTTTTTAAAACCTGTGTTCCTTTTTAGTGCCTTGCTCTTTCATGTTTTAACCCCTCCCACCCGCACCTTTTTCCTTTTCTAACCATAAGCTCCACGAAGGCGAGGAGGTCTTTTGGTTTACCGCTGTCATCCCCAGCGCCTCCTACCGTCCCTAGAACAGACTCCGAGTGTGCGTTGTCAGGTGAATTTACTGACAGCGGCAACAGAAGGACGCTGAGCCGCAACCCGGCCCGCACTCACCCCACCGCCAGAGCTGCGAGTGAGTTCCCACAACAGCTCGCCGGCTTTGCAGCCTCCGCTCAGCCCCGACCTGGGCACGAAGGGTACGCGCAGGCCATGACGTCACGAGATTGTGACGCCCGCAAGGCCCCGCCCCTTCGCGGCGCGGGGTCGAGAATCCAGGCTCTCTGCGCCGTGACATCACGGTCCGGGCGGGCGGGTTTTGCGTCGGCCCAATGGGAGCGGCGCGCCGGCCTCTCCTTTAAGGAATGTTGTGACCTGACGTCACCCGGGCGAGTTACCTCCCCGAGCCGCCACCGCCGGGCTCAGCGCGAGCCCGGAGCCCTTGAGTGCGAGGCGCGGAGCCCGCGGAGCCCCCGAACCGCAGCCACATCCCCGCGCCGCGCACCCCGGAGCCTCGGCCTGCGCGCCCCGCCGGGCCCGCGCGATGCCCTCGGACCGGCCTTTCAAGCAACGGCGGAGCTTCGGTGAGGCCCGGCGGGCGATCTGCGAGCGAGGGGTGGGGGCGCTGGGGGGGGGGGTGCGACCGACCCGACTGCCGTAGGTGACGTCAGCCCCGTGACGTCAGGCTCCGGCCGCCCCCTGGGCTGGGACGCAGGCTCGGGCCTGGGCCGGGGCCTCCGCCTCCCAACCCCGTCCTGTGCTGGGGCTGGGGGGCCGACGGCCCGGGGGGCGGGGGCTGTGGGGAGGCGGGGCGGGGCCTCACCGCCCAACCGCTGTCTGCAGCCGACCGCTGTAAGGAGGTGCAGCAGATCCGCGACCAGCACCCCAGCAAGATCCCGGTGAGTCCCGCCGCCCCCTCCCATCCCCAGGCCCCGCGCCCCGCCTCAGGCTCACGCGTCCCGCCCCACCCTGCTCCCAGGTGATCATCGAGCGCTATAAGGGTGAGAAGCAGCTGCCTGTCCTGGACAAGACCAAGTTCCTGGTCCCGGACCATGTCAACATGAGCGAGTTGGTCAAGATCATCCGGTGCGCGGGCAACAGCTGTCAGAGGGGGACTTGGGTCCTGCTGGGGTCGGGCGGGGGGCTGGGTCCTTCTGAGAAGGTTGGGAAAGGTCAAGGTCAAGGCTGGGGTCACTGTCAGTGTCAGAGATAAGAACCTTTAGAAGGGGCTGGGATGGGTGTGAAGCAGAGACTCGGAATCATTTTGGGGAGGGGGGGTCAGGGCTACACCCGCCCAGCAGCCAGGTTGCTCACAGTCGGCATGCCCTCCTGCCCACCTCAGGCGCCGCCTGCAGCTGAACCCCACGCAGGCCTTCTTCCTGCTGGTGAACCAGCACAGCATGGTGAGCGTGTCCACACCCATCGCCGACATCTATGAGCAGGAGAAGGATGATGACGGCTTCCTCTACATGGTCTACGCCTCCCAGGAAACCTTCGGCTTCTGAGCTCGCAGTAGGGGGGGTTGGCCTGGGAGTAGGGGGCCCTGTCAGGCTCTGCCCAGGTAGCTCCTGGCTCCTGAAGTGAGCTGCCTCTGCCCCTGGTGGGCTGGGCAGGGATGCGCCTCCTAGCCAGGAGCACCAACCATGCCTACTCTGCCCCTGGGTGGATCCTGGGCCAGTCATGTTAGGGTTGCCCCTCTGGGTGCTGGCTGGGATGGGGGAGGGTGGGGAGCAACCCCCGGCACCCCTACTGTGTGATTTGTTTTTTTTTAGGCCCCTGCCTGTCTGCCCATCTGTCCCTCCCCTGCCTGAGGCGCTGCCCCCTGCCTGGACCCGCCCACCCTTGAAGGACTGGCCCCTGGCTCACCCAGTCTTGACATGGTGTATGGATCTGTGGTCATTGTCCCTCTGCAGAATAAAGATTGCTCAGGCCTGCCTGGCCCTTTGCCTCCAGCTGCTTGGGGAATGGGGAGGGCTGCTGATGGGGCTGTCCCACACCATTCTCAGCTCGCCAGTGCATAGACCTGTGTTCTGTGGACTTAGGGCTCATCCTGGAAACCCACACCAGTGTGTAGTGTACCATAGCAGTATTAGCAGCCAAGCCCAGCCCTTCCATGGTACAGTGTGGTCCCACAGTAGACTTTTTCATAACAAAAAACATTTATTAAGTAGCCACAACTTAACAAACCCTGCTCACCTTCTTCTTCCCTTTTCCTGCCTGTGAGGGGCTCCTTGGTGTGCAGAGTCACAAAGTGGGGGTCCAAGTGGAGGTGCTCCTGGCTACTCTCCACAGGCCTTGATGCCACCCTTGGCTCCCCTCTGGTGCCGGAGATTCGTGACCCTGGACTCGAACCTCATCTGCCCGAGGACTCGCCTGATGGCAACTCTGGCTAGAGGGCTTGGCCCAGCTTCTGGCCTTTTCACCCCCTGAAATCCGTACAGGCCTGGCCCAGCCAGGCCTACTTGAGCACAAGCATGGCCTCCGTGCCGTCCTTGGCCGTCAAGTAGAGACCATGTGTGAGGTAGTACTCCCGCCGCAGGAAGGCGTAGAAGTAATCAGAAATGAGCAGGATCTGCATGGAGAGAGAGGGTGTGAGAAGCTTTGAGGTACTCTCCCTGAACCTTGGGTCCCTGAGGGCACAGGCAGGTGTTGGGGAAACCCTGCCCAGGGACTCTCACGTCAGGGCCTACACTTGACCCTGCAAGGTCTCACTAGCACCTCAGAAGTTGCCTGTATTGCCCTCCCTCCCCTACCATGGTCCACAACGCCATCCCAAGCCCTGGCCTCTGAACTCCAGACCGGTGCCCCTCCACCCCAACAAGGTCCTGTCAAACCTGCTTCTCCCACTGGAAACCTGTGCCCCCATCTTCTATCCAGGTGTTCAGGCCACAGAATCAACTGACATTTCTCCCACACACAAAGCGACCAAGTCCTGTCAGTTCTACCCCCAAACTCTCAAATCCACCTATTTCTACCCGTCCCCACAGCTACCACCATGGACAAAGCCACTGTCATCTAAACAACAGCAGTCTCTTCTCTGGGCTCCCTGCTCTCACCCCTCATCCCAGTGTTTTCCCCAGCAGCCACAGACCTTTTCAAACAAATGTGGTCATGTTACTTTCCTGTTCAAAGTCTTCTAAAGCCTTCCTATGGCTCTTAGGGTGAAGATCAAACTCCCTGAGACTCCCAGGCCTTGCACCTGGGCCCTGCCCATGTACATGCACTGCCCTCTCCCCTGCTCCACCTCACTGGGCTCTAGCCACACTGGCCTCTTCCCTCCCGCTGCAGGATCTTTGCTGTTTCCTCTGCCTGGGATGTTCTCTCCCCTTTCATCTAGTCAACACTTGCTTGCCATTCAGGTCTCAGGAAGGATAATTTCCTCAGAGAAGCCCTCCCTTACCCCCCAGATTGGGTCTTGGCCCCATTAACCTCTATTTGGTAGCACAAACTCATCCAAATTGCAGTCTTACATTCATCTGTGTGACTGCCTGATGACTGTGGCTCCTCCCCTGGACTGGGCAGGGTCCCTGAGTGGTTCTGCCACTATGGTATCTATGCCCAGCTCAGTCTGTTTTTCCCGTCTGGGCCACAGAATCAAAGGGACCCTAGAAGCTCAGCACACCATCCCTCTCACTGAGGCCCAGAGGGTAACAGGGATATGCCAAGGTCCCCTGCACGATGGACCTGCAGTCTTAAAATCCCATTCATCCCAAACTCCCAAGACCTCCATCCAGTGCCTGCAGCAGGACAGGTTATGGCCCAGCCCCACTGACGGATGAGGGGAGAGGGGCTCACCACTGCAGACACCACCAGCTCTCAGGCACTTAGAGGCCTCTCAGACTATCATCACTAATCACCTCTTAGCACAGTTGGGAGACAGAAGCCCAGAGCAGGGGGAACACCTGGCTAGGGTCTTGGAGCTGAGCCTGGGATCTCAACTCTCAAAACTCTGTCCTGGGTAGCCTCTCTCACACCACGGGTAGGAGAAGGAGAGCACAGAGTAGCCTGGAGGAGGAGCTCAGGACCAACACCAGTGATGGCCTCTGGACAACGGCACCACAAGAGTCCATCTGGAAGGCTCGATGGTCCCCACCTTACAGATGAGGAAATTGAGGTGCAAGGAGTTCAATAGTTGGTCTAAGGCTATACTGGGAGAGCTGGACTAGCGGCCATGATCCTGCAAGGCCATGCATTAGGGGCCCAGTCTGCCAGTGGGCACAGAACTTGGTCGATGAGGGTATCAGTAGAACAGACAGAGCCCAGGGAGCCCCTGAGGACCTGCCCCACAGCTGCCCATGGAAGGCAGTTATCACAGCAAAGGTTGACCTTACACCCTGCAGCCCCTTTCTCACCTGCACCCAAGGTGCCGGGTCTTGGGAGGGGGAGCCTGGAGCCATGGCTGAGCTAGTGGGGGCAGATCCCTGAGCTGCGTCAGATGAGGACCAGGTGCAAAGCCACAATTCACAACAAAATAAAATGAGCCAACTCCCATGTCACACACAATCAGCTGGACAAGTAGTAGGAAGTCAAAATACTAGGTATTAGGTTGAACCGTATGAAATTGCCATTTTTGCAGATCAAAAATCGTTGAGTATTGACAATTTCATATGGTTCAATCTAATATACAAGGGAAAAAAATCAAATAGTAGAGTAAGCATGTTATTTAGAAGTACCAGAACAATAAGACTTTAGGGAGCTATTCTTTTTCTTTATAAGCCTTAACTTTGTAAATTATGTACATATATTACATTGATGAAAGAAAATCCAATTAAAAACAATCAGCCAATAAATGATTAAATAAATAAATGGGGGAGAATTCCTTTTGGAATCCTTACAGAAGAATTCCAAATAATATATGTAAATAATCCCCTCTAGGACGTGGAGCTTAATTCTTGCCTGCTCCCCACCTCCTGCCCCGGGCTAGACTTAGGGACTCACTTCCAACTGAGCAGAGAAAGAGAAAATCGTAACTCTACACTGGAGAAGCCCGGCAAACACTATCTTAACGAGATGAAGGGTAACATTAGCATCAAATCATGTGGCTAACTAGCATGTACTGCCTGAGCGTTCCAAAACCCCAAAACCCAGGCTCATGATGAGAAAAACATCAGACAAACCCAAAATAGGGACACTCTACAGGACACCTGGCCAGTGCTCCTCAAGACTGTCCAGGCCATGAGAAATTAGGAAGACTGAGAAAGCAAGCAGAGGACACAGGGGAGACAAGACAACTAAATGTAATATGGTGCCCTGGACTGGATCCTGAAAGGGCAAGAGGACATTATAGGGAAAACCATGAAATCCACATTAAATCTGGAGTTTACTTAACAGTAACGTACCAAGGTCAGTTTCTTGGTTTTGACAAACGGTACCATGGTAATATAAGATGTTAACAATTTGGGAAACTGGGTGTGGGGCATACGGGAACTCTCTGTACTATCTAAAATTATTCCAAAATTTAAAATTTATTTTAAAAAGCAACACACTATTATTATAAGCAACATGGATGAACCTCAAAAATATTTTGCTGAGTGAAAGGAAGCTTTGGGAAATGTACATGTAAGATTTGTATTTTTCATTGCACGTAAATTTCACATAAGAAAAATGTAAATAAGTATTGAGCTCTGGTTAATGGTACACATGCTGAAATATTTAGCAGGAAATATACTGATGTCTGCACTTCACTCTGAAATACATTAAAAAAATGTATGGGGGATGGATAATTTGTGATCACACAAGTACAGTAAAAAGTTAATGGTAGAGTCTAGGTGCTAAGTATATGGGTGTTCAACGTTAAAGCTTTCAATTTTGCTGTCTGTGAAAATTTTCATAATGAAGTGTCAGGGGAGAGTGGTGTGGAGGGAAAGAGCCCTATGTGCTGGCTTGGTCCGTCTGGAACTGAAGGTCACTAGTCCTGAGTGGGTGAACTGCCCCTGCCCCCAGGGAGAGGGCATCTCATGGACACCAGGCTGGCCCGGAGGCATGGCTCTTTCAGAGGGAAGCCCCTAGCTGGTTTCAGGCTGGCTGAGACAACCTCTTCTGACCTTGAGGCTTTCCATTTGGGCTGAGGAGAAGGGATTCCCCAGAGGTCCTGGGATTTAGCCAACACAGCAACTGCAGACCCAGAACCCTTTGCCCAGTCTAGGCAGGGGAAGTTGGGCAAGAGGTAGTGGAAACAGCATGGGCGAGTTAGTGGCTGTGTGACCCTGTGTAAGTCACTTCCCCTTCCCTAAGCCACATTTTCCTTATCTGTAAAATGAGTGATAAATTCTAATTTATTATTGACAATGGTGGCTCCCCTAGTCCTTGCTCTGTCCTTCTCTGCTTTCAGAGACCTGAAGAGCAGCCCTTTTTTTTTTTTTGGCTGAAGAAGATTTGCCCTGAGCTAACATCTGTTGCCAATCTTCCTCTTTTTGCTTGAGGAAGATTCACCCTGAGCCAACATCTGGAGCAGCCCATTCTTTAAAGCTGCCCTCACCAACTATGGCTGAGCCCCTCGGCCTCTCTCCTGTCATCAACCATCAAGTCCTGCCAATTCCCCTCCTCAGACTTCCGACTCAGCTCCCTCTTCTCCCTCCCACTGCCATCTCTTGCTGGGAGGCCTCCCTCATCCCTCCTGACCCCCGACAGTCAGTTATATGGCCTCTGAAGTAAAGTTATTTCCTGTTGGTCTCTCTACCACATGGGGTGACAGCTGCTCCAGCTCTGTGGCCCCAGACCCAGCACAAGGCTGGTGCTCTGGGAGTAGTTTGCTAGTCCCCACCCCCTTGGCACTGCCCCAGTGAGGGCTCAGTCAGACCACATTCCTCTCACTGGCAGCCAGAGGGCTCCAGGACTCCCCTTTGGGCCAGATGAAGATTTAATGGGGCAGCTGATAAAAGGGTGCCAGGGACAGAGATGGGTAGATCAGAAGTGGAATGAAACAGTCAGAACATGCTCC